GCGTGGCACTTGTTACTACTAGCTTCTTGTTACTACTAGTAAGGCACTTGTTACTAGTAGCGATGCACTTGTTTCTACTTGTATTCACTATATAGTAGCTTCTTGTTACTAGTAGCCATGCCCTTTGTTGCTAGTCTGCTAGTAGCTTCTTGCTCCTAGTAGTAAGGCCAGGAGCTACAAAGTAGCTTCTTGCAACCCTTATTTAAAAATGTATTCACTACTGGCCATCTTCCTTTGAAGCTGTTTGGTATGTTCAGGCTTTCTGCCTCTACAACACAAGTGCACACCTGCAGTACCAGCCAACTAAAATTGGGACTGTACAGGTTCCAGGATGCTTTGCTGCAAGGAAGATGCTACAATCCAATGCCTCAGAGCCTCATGTCTATGCGCAAACACGAGGCATCGTGGCACTGTATCTTTGGTGTGGATCCAAGCCCTTGTTGTGGCAGTCTTCGCCTGGCATGCAGGCTCTTGACCCAAACCTATAGCTGTTTCTGTGCTGTCAAACACTCCGTGTTGCTGCACCATGGACCACCAACACCCAGGAGGGTGCAATGAAAGGAAGCAGGACAGCCACACACACATGAGACGCGTCTGGTTCTGCCAACCGAGGATGTTCCTGCAAGGATGAAAGGTGGTAGGGACTGCTTGCTCGAACAAAGTCTTCTCTCCTTCGACGCATTGCCCTCACACCCTGCATTGCCACCCTGCCTGCAGTACTCTTAGCGTTCTCGTGATGCCTCTTTGCATGGAAGGCGCTCATTCAACTTTGCCCACTCTTGCTCGTCAAAGAGTCAGCTCGGCTCTAAGGTGTCCCAGGAGTGGCCAGTGAAGATTGCGGAGGTGCCGGACGGTATTGTCGGTCCTCAACAAGTGTTGATGTGCATTTTATTGCATATATGGTTTAAGTGTTTTTCTGCCTCTTTCTGTCACAGTTTCAAATACCAATGGCACAAAGTTGAGTGACCAAAGGGATAAGTGATTTGCATTGCACAAGTTGACAGCAAAGGGCAAAATGCACTCGGTGTCCTGCTTGCATCACTTGAATAGGTGGACTGCACCGTGAGCAAGAACATTTGCCAAAAGGCCAATGTCAAGGCTCGGATCCTTTAGATTCTTTAGATTCGAATCGAGGGGCGACATCGTCCAGACCCACGAACCACGAACCAAGGCTGCTTGGCGCTCCTTCGCTGAATCCCAAAAAGGCAACATAGTGAAACAAAAGTGAGCATCATAGTGACTTGAACGAGACCTCAAGACTCAGCTCGGCTTGTCGTTTGCCCAGTCGTTTGCAAACAAGAAGCACCACTTGGTCGTTTCGTGTGTCAGTTTGAGTAGTGTACTCTCATATCATCAGACGCTATGAGCGAAAGTTATTTATTTTCGGTGGCATCCACTCTCTGGCCTTCTCAAACTCGGAGCCCAGGGCTTTCCCGAAGTGGTCCTCATCACGGACGGGAAGCCGAAAGGAAAGTATAAGGGCGAGGTGCGGAAACACGACCTCGTTCGACAGAGAGAGCTCCCGTTCCCTGACAGTGCCAACCTGTCCAAGTTTTGGGAACCCAGAGGAGATTTCTTGCAACCTGAGCGCCTTCTTTTGGCCGATGTCCTCATTTTACCAAAAGCATCTCGGATGCTTGGGTTCTGGTTGCTTTTGCGGTCAGGGAACGAGGAAACGCTGGGAACGGCGCGGGCGCGGGAGAGAGAGTGTCGGGAGGATGGTGGACATGTGCTGGAAGTGGTAGGGGCCAGCGGGGAGACGCGTGAATGGATAAACATTATATGTTCTGTTATCATAAGCCACTGAGCAGTCGAGTCGCTCAAGCTCTTTGGCTCAAAGAGCATATGCAGTGGGGGGCTGTGCTGGAGGTCCTTCGGGAACTTCGATTCCTCTGGCCCTCCTTCAGCCCTTGCTCGTGCCCGTGGGGCTGGATCTTTTTGGCCATCTTGGTGACCTTCGGCATTGGTTGCTGTTGCGGGGCCCTGCTGGCCACTTGCGCTTGGTCCCACTCCTGCCGACGCGGTTTGAAGCTGTTAGGTTCACTGCTGTTGGCTAGCTGCGCTCCCGCTGAGGCCGTGGGTCAAGAGCTGGCCTTGCGACGGAGGCTTGGTCAATACCGAGATCCCAGTGCATGAGCACCCCACCAGAGCTGGACGAGGTCACGCTGTCCTTCGCTGGATTACGGATCCGGATCGGTCGCGAAGACCAAGGTGAATCTGCAGCCGACGAGGGCTCGAGCCTGTCCTCTTTTTCAATAGTAAGGTCCCCCACCTCGGGTGCCCTTGCTCGCCCCGCTGGGGCATCGAGCTCTCCTGACGAAGAGCTGCTTGGATTTGGAGCCACCAACTCACATCTTGTTGAGGCACCCGTCCAACGACCTTTTGGAAGTGCTGCGTGGAAGAACGCTTTGCTGCAGGCCGTCACTCCTGAGGATTTTGAGAGATTGGATTTGTCTGGAGCTCGCCATTTGTTTTCGAGGCTGAGGTCATCGACTGGAGGCTGGACTCCGGCGGCCCGCATCGGCCGTGCGCTCAAGTGTGGTGTGTTAGCTCGCTATCACTTGGACCTGCATCCAGCTCCTGAAGCTGTCGTACCTGGCCTTCCGCTGGCAAACAAGATTTTTGTGGTTTTGAGAGGAGCACCTGGGCATTCAGCTGGGTGGACTGACCATCAACCCACTTTTCGAGCTGCCACTCAGGGGCGGTTCGATCGATCTCACGCAGACGCAGTCTGCCACGGCTTTTGCATCGAGGGCAGAGGGCGAGGCATATTGCCTGGGAGCTGAGCGGGTATGGCCTCAGCTCTTGCGGCGGCTGGACTGACCGAAGGGTCATTGCGGGCCCTCTACGGGGGGCGTGCGCCAGGCGGCGCTTTGCCAAATCTGTTCGTGCGACTACCTCCTCGAGCAGATGGCACAGTTTTGAGGGCGCAGTGCACGCTCGTGCGTGTGAGAAGTGTGGATTCATGGTGGCAGCGCCAGATTTAGAAGATGTGGTGCATTTTTTCCAAGAGCAGGAGCTCGAGTTGGATGGAGGTGGCGAGGCAGCGGTGCTTCATCTTGCAGAGGTGGCCATGGAGACCACTCGAGGACGCCTCTTAGGCACGGCGGCTATGGTGTTGATAGATGTCAGCTGGGAGCTGGCCGACTGCTTCATTCGAGCTCATTCGCTTCGAAGCACTCAGAACTTCGAGCTTTTCGTTGGAGCAGTTGCACTAGGTTTTGGGGGGATGTTGCATCCCAATGAGTTTCTAGCCTTGCGTCGCAGGGATCTTGTGTTCCCGCACGATTCGATGATGTGGGACTCTGATTTTTTATATGTCTTCACCCGCAACCCCAAAACTGCTCGCTTCGCCAAACGGCAACACGTGCGCGTAGACGACCGCTCATTGGTCCAGCTGTTGTTTTGCATCTTTGGCCGCCTAGGTTTGGACGAGAGATCTTTTCCAGCATCTACTGCGGTGTTCCGCCGACAGTGGAATGCAGTCTTGGACAAGCTTGAAATACCTCGGAGGCAAAGCGACAGAGGCGCCACGCCTGGTACTCTCCGAGGTTCAGGCGCTACACGCGAGTACATTCAGGGTTCCGACATCAGTCGTATCCAGTGGAGGGGTAGGTGGTGCAGGCTGCGGACTTTGGAGTATTATATCGAGGAAGTTGCTGCCCAGCTTTTTCTCTTCAACCTCACCCCTGGAGCAAGACAGACAATTTCTGTTTTGGAGCAACACCTCTGCAGAGCCGGTTCCCGACTTTTTTCGTTGGTAGTTCTTGCAGAGCAGGCAGTTAGGAGCGGAGGAGCTTGGTTGTCATTCGTTGTTCAGCTTTCATCCTGGCAATACATTGATGGTCGCAAAGCATTGTATTTTTGCAGATGGTTGGAGTTGGCTTGACACCTTCGCTCCAGTTGCTCGTAGTGGCCACTAGCACGCATTCAATGGAAGGCTAGGGAACCTTCGAGAATGCGGAAAATAAGGCGGCGTGATGTTCTGTTATCATAAGCCACTGAGCATTCGAGTCGCTCAAGCTCTTCCCATTCCCACCTCCCGAGCTTGGTTGTCATTCGTTGTTCAGCTTTCATCCTGGCAATACATTGATGGTCGCAAAGCATTGTATTTTTGCAGATGGTTGGAGTTGGCTTGACGCCTTTGCTCCAGTTGCTCGTAGTGGCCACTAGGACGCCTTGAATGGAAGGCTAGGGAACCTTCGAGAATGCGGAAAATAAGGCGGCGTGATATAATATACCTTACAGGGGCGGAACGCAAGATCACCACGATGCACATGATGCACCCTGGCTTGTAGAGGCACCGGACAAGATGGTCTCTGCGCATAGTTTTGCACATGGCTGTGCACAGTAGCCGAGAGGTCAACAAACCTCACACGACCCATCACTAGCAAATTTCAAGGTCAAGTACACTGTCAGGCAAGTCCCACATGAGCTTGAGGGATTGCAAGATTCTTCTTCTCTTTTCCTCACTGAAAGCTCCATATGCTATTCATATTATATTTCTTTCCCTTTTGGTACCTTCTGGTTGCTTGCTGCTTCCTGGCCTGTATGTTCTGCTTCGTACTCCATGCCGGCACCCACACGCAAATTTCACCGACTGCTTTTGGGTGTTCGGGTTCACATTGTTTTTGATCCGAGCCTCGTGTTCCACGCGTGCTTGGTACTGTAGCTTTGGAACAGCAAAATGCCAAGCACCTGCAGATCAATCATGGCAGCTTAGCGCAGCTCAGCAGCGCAAAAGGACTCCTTCAAAATTTCCTAACTAGATCCACCGCCCACTACGGGCCGTGGTGCGAAATGACAATTCTGATCAACAAAATGTCAGTGGGGAACAATTCTCCTGTGCACTTCCCAGTTGAATTGACACTCCAACAGTCAATTCAAGTTGCCCCCAACTATCGAGGTGTTGGAAGCTTTTAGGGTTATGTAACCAATGTAATCCATTGCTTGTTTGGGATCTATTGTCACACAAGCTCCTTTTCGCTCTTACTCAAGTTACGTAGACATGACGTGAAGATCATCCGTCTTCTAACAACAGAAGACATTCGATACCAAGCGCATCCGTGCCCTAACAGCAGAAGACATTAGATACCCACCGTTATGAGCCTACCAACTGCGTCGCTGCAATTGTTGTGAAATCAATGACAATGTAAAAATTATCCCGGCAAGAGTCCCCAAACAGTGTGTGTGAGGTCTATAAGCAGAAAGTCTAGAGATCTAGACGAATTGGGGTCCAGAGAGGTGATGGTGGTGGTGGTGACTGAGTGAGTGAGTGTGAGAGAGTGAGAGAGTGAGTGAGAGAGTGAGTGAGTGAGTGAGAGAGAGAGAGAGAGAAAGTGAGTGAGTGAGTGAGTGAGAGTGAGAGGGAGTGTGAGTGTGAGCGAGAGTGGGAGAGTGAGTGCGAGTGTGGGTGTGAATGTGAGTGTGAGTGGTGAGGGTGGGAGTGAGTGAGAGTGGGCGAGCGAGTGAGTGTGAGTGTGAGTGTGTGAGTGAGAGTGTGAGTAAGTGTGAGTGTGAATGTGTGAATGTGAATGTGAGTGAAGAGTGAGCGTGAGTGAGAGTGAGCGTGAGCGTGCGCGTGTGTGAGTGAGTGAGAGTGAGGGTGAGAGTGATGTAGTGAGAGAGTGAGCATTTGAGAGCACAAAGTGCTGCGCCTGCGCAGAAATCTGCACCTTGAGGTTCACAAAGTACTGCGCTTGCCACGAAATCTGCACTTCGAGGCTCAGCAAGTGCTGTGCCTGCCACGAAATCTGCACTTCGAGGTGCACAAAGTGCTGCGCCTGGCACGAGATCTGCGCCTCGAGGTTCACCAAGTGCTGCGCCTGCCACGAAATCTGCACCTCGAGGTTCACAAAGTGCTGTGCCTGCCACTCTGCGCCTTGAGTTGACAAAGTGCTGTGCCTGCCACGAAATCTGCACTTCGAGGTTCGCAAAATGCTGCGCCTGCTACGAAATCTGCACTCCGAGCCTGCCACGAAATCTGCACTTCGAGGTTGTCAAAGTGCTGTGCCTGCCACGAAATCTGCAAGTCGAGGTTCACAAAGTGCTGCGCCTGCTACGAAATCTGCACTTCGAGGCTCACAAAGTGCTTTCCCTGCCACGAAATCTGAAACGAACCACATGTCGAAAAGCAACGATTCACTGCACCTGTCACGAAATCAGAGCTCGTCGAAGATCGCCACCATGTCCAAAGTGCTGCACCTGCCACGAAAACTGCAGTTCGAAGTAAAACATCTCCGATCCCTTGCACCTGTCCCGAAAAGTCGACTTTGGACCACGAAAACACGAGGTTTCCCTTGTGCCTGCCACGAAAAGTCACCACCATGTGCGAAAATGCGCACGGCACCACAACGAGAGCGCAGTCGTTAGAAGCGCCCGCCGCAGACGCCCGGATTCAGCGAGCCTGCGCAGTCGAACTGCATGTGGACGATGCCGGTCACGGCCGCGCGCCCCAGCGATCTAAGCACAGCTGCTTTGCACCTACCGCAAGAACCCCCAAGTGTGTCCACACTGTTTGGGAAAGAAACACAAAACACCACGGCCTGTTATGGGCGGTGTTCCCACGACACACGCATGGCTTGCGGATTGAATTCCCACCCCATCCTTCCCCCTTTGCCGAAATCTAAGCCACGGCCAGGTGGGGAGTGCGAAGGCCTTTGAGGCGTGGCTCTCGAAGCAAGGCGTCCTGGGTGACTCCACGGCGGGTTGCCCCAGGAAGGAAAGGATTCGGTGGGCTTCGGTTTGGGAGTCCACAAAAGCATCAGGAAAGATCAGCGGTGAATAGTTTTGGTCTCCTTTTTTCGGCCTTCAAAGTGGACCCTTTTGGCGCCCACTGAATGGTTCTAAGCCTGTTGATTTCATGCAAACAATGGTGGCAACACATTTGCCCCAAAGTAGCTGTGCGGATTGATCCATCCTGAGGTGTTCTTTTTTGAAGTTGTGTGTGACATTGCCCTCGCTACAGAACATATTTATGTCGCTGAGCATCCTCAGACATCGGGAGGTGAGGTGAGTGCATTCTGGTTTGGCCAACGTATAGCTGTAATTATCTTCCTTGCCAAAGTTCGACGATCCCTCCTCTAAAACATGTTGTTTCTGGGAAGCTGGGAACCTTCGGGTGGAGAGCTGGCAACTGGGAACTGTTCCAATATTCCAGACTGCCTGGGCCGCAGAAGTGATTCTGTGGGTTTAGCAGAGCAGTCAAGGTTGAAGCACAGCACGTAGCTACCCAAGACTCGAGATGCTGGTCATGGTTATCAGCCTCACCGGAACTAGACTTGGGACATGATTCATGCAATCACCGGAAGCATCGTTTGTTGCACCAAATGACTAGCCAACTCAAGAGTCCCCACTTAACCACGCTTCTACATGGGAACACCTATTTTCATCAAGATCAAGACTGAAAGCCATACCCAAGTACTACAAAGTTGTCCAGCTGGCTCCGACGCTCCGGAATTTCCACGTTGTCAGCGTGACTTGGCAGGGGCCTGTTGGAAAGCGTGCAAGAAGAGACATCACTACGAGTAAAAGAAAGGATCAACACTGGAGGATCGGTGAATTCGGTTGGGAGTACCAGGTGCAATTTCATTGGGTGAAACCCTGAACCACCTGAAGCCTCCCAATTACTGCAGTCCCCACGAGCTCCTGTGTCACTTCAAATGTCTACAGCTACTGGAACCAGTTCAACGCTGCGGTTTACAAGCAGTGAGGAAGTCGCATCAGCTCTTCTCCAAAAATTCAACTTTGAAGACTGCAAACCGAAGCAGCTGAAACTTGAAGTCCTCACGTCCCTGCGTCTGAGCACCAAACCCTGATAGACTGATAAAACTGTAGATGGCACCCGGATGTATTTTGCGCAAAAAAGGTCAAGCGGGTGGGTAAATAAATAGACGGCCCTGGTGAGTATAGGACCCCTCAACGCTCAGGCACTTAAATTGTCCAGACTGACCAGAGAGATGTAGAACTTGATCCTTCTTGCCCAAGAACCATTGGAGTCGAGGAAACGCACCTTCTCAAACTCCAAGAGAAAGAGAGAGAGAGAGAGCGAGATGTGAACATACATGTTCCTCATACATGGGTCTCTCTCATACTATGGCTCTACACGGCCCTTGAGTTAGTACAACAAAGATAGAGCCATTGATGGTACAAAAGGACTGCGTATACAAGAGCGATACAGTTGCACTTCACTTTACATGGTAGCGAAGCTATGATCACCGGCAACAATCAGGGTGAGCTCCAATACATACAGCACACAAGCATAACAAACATTCATACAGACAGAGTACACAGACAAGAAGGAAGCATACAAACATGGCCTGTGCATCAGCATCAGGAGATACAAGCAACATCACAAGCATGCACGAATACACAAGACCACAACTTTTCTTCACAGGCGACTACACAATCTTTGAGGAATGGGTGCACAAGTTCCTCGCGTACATCGGCCTTGTAGATCTCCTCATGGAAGGCACAAACGATGACACCCAGGAACGTAAATGTGTACAACTCAGCAGGGACATACACTACACATGCTCGTGAACATTTGTCAAGGACCAGCAGCTACACTTTGCAGACAAAACAGTCTACATGAGGCGCTGGATTGGAAACATGGCGACAGCCAAATCTCCACTTCACCAAACCCACTGCCACACGATCAGTCGGTTACCTCACCAAGCTTGCGCAAACTACAGTTTGACGAGAACAAATTCAAGGATACATTCACGTCATGGGAATTTGAGGTAGCAAGGTATGAGAAGGAAAACAGCACACTCATCCCAGACAACATCAAAATTGTAATTGTGCTCAATGAGACAAAAGGAGCACTAGACTACAGCAATACTTATATACGACTCAGAGCAGGACAGGTCAACACACATATACGGAGCTCAGATCTCTCATTTTGGAGTACCACCGTGCATCAGCCTCATTTACACGCATGCAAAAGCAGCAGCAATACAATGCAGCCACTTCATCACAAGGTCCAGCACCAATGGGCAAGGACACAAAGGAAAGAGTACAGGAAACAAAGGAAAAAGAAAAGGGAAGCAATCAGGCAAAGGAAGGGAAAACAATCAGACATATGGGAAAGGATACGGTTACGCTTTCCAGTACCAACACAGCAAAGGCAAAGGAAAGTATGGCAGCAATCCATTTCGACGACAAGCAGAAAAAGGTTACGGATACAACAACTCGAGCAAAGGATACTCACAGAAAGGTTATGGCAAACAAGGACAACAGGACAATCGCAAAGGACAACGACAGTACAATGTACGGTTCTGCAAGAAGTGTGGCAACCCAGGACACATTTAACCCGACTGCAGAACACACAGCAACAGGAGAAACAATTCCAGATCCTACAGCAAAGAGCCATCTTGGGACACAGGCCCCTGGCATCAGCAACAGCAAACACCATGGTTTCAACCTACTTATGGACAAGCAGCCTTACCTTCCCCGCCACAACTATATATCTACACAAGCAGCACCGAGTACGATCTCAGTCCGTACTGGATTGATCATCCGCACCATTACGAGTACGATCGCAAGCATGGAACAACACAAAGCAGACGAATCATGATTGACAGTGGAGCAGCTACACGCGTAGTAGCACTCTACTGGTTTGGAGAGCATACAGCAGAGCTTAACATACTCAGCGTACAAGATACACCAAACCTGAGAACAGTCACCGGCAAAAACATCAAAGTCAACGGCTACCGGCTACCGATGGATCATCTTCAAGAACAACGGTGGACAGCAGATCATGATACTCTTTTACATATGCGATGTACACGACCCCATACTCAGTGTTTCACGTTTGTTGGAGCAAGGTTTCCATCACCCAGGGTGATACATCCACCCTGACGCAACCAAACAGCTTTGACAGCACATTAGTAGGAAGAACGGACTCCTGCACATCCACCCCTTTCAGACAGGACTGCCAAAGGCTACACAACTCACCTGAGCACAGCACAAGGACAGATAGCACCTATAGCACCAACCACACTCACAGCAGAAGGACCAGAACCAATGAGACGAGGAAATACTGACATATGGCAGTACTACAACGAGGCGTATTTAGTCAGGATACGCAAACGATCACGCAAGGTGCTCTTTACACCAGATTAAAAACGCCCACTCTCAGAGGACTACAGAAAGACCATCGTACAACAAGCCGGACAACCACCACTTGATATAGTGGACTCATACAAGTCCCTCAGCAGGAAGGAACACCGACGAGCACTACAAGGCCCAGCTTGGCATGGAGAGACATGGTTTAGACCACTTACAGGAGCAGCGGTAGCACCAGCCCAGCACATGACACAAAAAGAGCAACTATCACCAGTACACCCAACATTGGGAAAGGAAGGTACATACTGGAAAGGAGAAACGACTTCTACACACCTACACGCGAAGATGGAGGACTAGGCCTTTGCACACTACTGCCACATAGGACAACATTCATCAAAGGACGGCACATAATCGAAGACTGAAGACAATTGGACAACAGATGCACCAACAAGAGCAGAAGCATGGACAGGTAGAGAGAGAGAGAGCGCCTGAGAGAGGGAGAGAGGCACAGAGCTAGAGAGAGGGGGTACTGTAGAGATTGAAGGAGGTGTGAAAAAAGTGGCCTGAAGCCCCCCCCCCTCACGTCGGGATCTGCAGGTGATGAGCCCGCCGCTTGTAGGTGCTTCAGATGCACTTATACTTATTCTCTTTCTTACCCACGTCACAAGACCGTCACAAGTGTGCATTTTTAAGAGTGAGGGACGCATTGTCAGAAGAACTGAGGTCATGACAAGGTTACTTATACCGCCTGGCGCAAAACCACTCAACTACTTACTGGAAAGTTATGCCCTTGTCCCTCCCATATCAGGTGGCTAGAAGAACTACAGAGGTTTGTCTCAAAATTGAATGACCGCGCAACTATGGTCTTCAGTCTTCATTTGTCTATTCTTGCCATGAGGCTTTTGAAGGGCCAAGTGCTTTTTTGGTTCGGAAAGGGATGCTGGCACAAGTCTGCACGTCCAAAATGGTCTCGTCACGCACGATGAGGTTCCAAGAGTTCGCGTGCGGCCTCAGCTGAGACGGTCGACTCGGCGATCCCCTCAGTGACAAGGCAAGAGGCCGTGCCTTCGGCGAATCGGTTCTTGGATGTCCAGATGGATGAAGCTGGATGGAAGGGTTTTTGATCACAGCGATGCACTTGTTACTAGTAGCTTCTAGCTACTAGTAGCGATGCCCTTGTTACTAGTAGCCATGCACTTGTTACTACAAAAAAGCCACCATTCCGAGTTGGGGTGCCCCCACTTCGGTTTTACTGTACTGCAGTACTACATGTAGTGCATCATTCAGCCAGGTATTGGTATGTGTTGGTGTCATGATGGGAAGGCTTCAGACTTTTGTAGATTCTACAGATTTTGCTTCTTGTGGAGTTTGTAGCTTATTTCGGGAATGTTGCACGTCAAGTACAAGTCGTTTGTTGTGCTTGGCAGGGTTGCTGTTGGAGAAGATGAGGGAAGATCCGCCAGCGAGCCCTAAATCTCTTGATTTTTCCCAAGACACATGGGAGATTTGACTCTGGATCATCTCATCTGAACTTCACAAGTCTATCCTTTGGAAAGCAGAACAATTTGTTGAAGACCTCCTATCAATCTATTCACTTGATTCTACGGCACCAATCCCCAAACATATCCTCAAGCCTTGCCGAACCCCTGGCCAACATCGGAGACCCCCGGTCGCTAGATTTTCGATCACCCTCACTCCAGTCCCCGTCGACTGAGGTGCGGGCGCCCAGCCGGAAGTCCACCCAGTCGATGAACTCCAAGGCCTCCAAGGAGACAGAAGGGCGAGACCAGAGGTGCCAGAGGTGGGAGGCCCAAAGTGTGACTGAGACCCACGTGTTTCGATGCGATACTTTCGGGGTCACTTGACACCGACAATGATGGAAGATGTGTTCATGAGGGTGAGAGAATTTGTGAGATGTTTGTAGCAAACTTTGGAGGGCTCCTGATGTTTTTTGTCCCCAATGTGAAGGTGTAGGTGATGGTAGATCAGCACTTCACCAGTTCCTGCAAGCCTAGACTACCCAAGAACTGAAGGCTACTCTACATTTTGGAGATGATCTTAGTTTCGCAGCAATCAAGATCACGAAGGACATTCTTTTCCTTATATAACGAACTTTCCCACTGCCCACAGAAATTTTGTTGGAGGTTCAGATCAGCCACGGTCCTAACGGCCCCTTTCAGCTCCCCTCGCCAGGGGATCAACCTCCTCCCTGGCTTCGCTCCAGGAGCCCTCGGGCCTCGGGCGACTCTTTGGGCTTTATAAGTTCCAGCAGAGGGTCTCGCTCGCGAGGTGCGCGGGTTGGAAGAGATGTTCAATGGTGAACGATGACGTGTCCGATTCGAGTGAAACACCGTGGAAACGTGATGCTGTCGCAAGTGTAACGGTTGATTCTTCTGCGCAAGTGTAGTGTTTTGTCAAGGTGTGGCACATTCACTTTTCGTGTAGGTGTTGGGAGGCAGGTTATTCCGTGGCAGGTGCAGGGAATCGTGCGGATGCGATGTCTGGTGAAGGTGATTGTCGTTGTGCCATTTGGATTGGCCTGCCGGCGGCCGCTTTATCGAGGGGCTTGGATTGCAAAACTCCTTGGCAGTGCGTGGTGTGTTCGCGCGGATGAGACTTCGAGCCTCACTTTTGGAGGAAGTCTAGTACTGTGACTGTAACGAAAGTGCTCGCTTTGACGTGCTTTGAAAGCTTGATGTGTGACTTTGGAGGATGTCTTTTACGAAGCCTCGTTTTGGAGACTTGACGACGTTTGACTCGTGGAGGCCCACAAGAGTGTCCTACAAGAGCGTCCCACAAGAGTCCTACGAGAGTGCCCTGCAAGAGTGTCTTACAAGAGTGGCCCACACAGGTGCCCTGCAAGGGTGCGCGACAAAGAACAGTGTCCTACCGCAGTCGTCATGGCATTGGATAAGAGTGTCAATTTCACAGCATTAGCCGACGCAGGTGGCTGACCACAGAAAAAGGGTACTTTCGTTTGGCCATGTTTTTGCATTCGTGTGTGCATTTGGGTTCGTGGGCTTTCCCCGAAGCATTTGGGGCTTGTTGACTTCCCAACAGCGTTAGTGTGGAGGTTTCCAGTTTTTGCACAAGCAGTCTGCTTGGTCCAAACACAGGTTCTCCCAGAAGGCAAGAGTGGCCGATAGATGGAAGCTACGAGTTGCACCCGTCTGAACGAAAAGGACATTCCTAACACTGATCATCGGAAGGATGGGTTTTGAAGGCAGACCTTGCGTGTTAATTATACTGGATCCATCAATTCTTTCAGAGGGTTTTTGTTTTTGAACAAAAGTTGTCGTGTTCCTTTGTGTTTCCAGCCGCCACAACAAGTAGAGAACAAAATAGAACAAATATATGTGCTATATTATATATATACAATTTGACCCATCAGTTTTTATCAGTTACATATTGGGAAGCACTTCTGGAAACTCTAGGTTTGCTAGGTCTTCTGCAGCCAGCTCTTCCATTGACAGTTCTTCTGACGTCTAGTGGCCTGCGCAGCCGCGGCCAATCCCTGAGGTCGGTCTTTGCCTCCTTCACCCGCGACTCGCGCTCGAACCAGCTCCTTAGCGTTCAGAATCCCCCGTCACCGCGCATCGCCACGACGGGGTTTCCGCGCTGTGCACGGCCACACGAGTGGCGGGATGTAGGGGATGTGGCGCGCCCCGTGATTTGGGGGCACTCAAGTGGACGGATCAACTGCTGAACTCGCAAGACCAGGTGATTTTTGAAGTTTATATCTCCTAGTAGCTTCTTGCTCCTAGTAGTACGGCCAGGAGCCCCTAGTACCGTCCTTGCTCCTAGTAGTAAGGCCAGGAGCTCCTACTAGCATCCTTGCTCCTAGTAGTACGGCCAGGAGCCCGTAGTAGCGTCCTTGTTCCTAGTAGTATGGCCAGGAGCCCCTAGTAGCGTTCTTATTTGGTTTGCCTACTTCTCTGGATTGGGCTCACAAAACTTGCTCCAAATTGTAGTTGAGCTTAGGAGGAACATCAGGATGTTTGAAAAACCTAGTGCTGTCTTGGACGCAATATTTCTGATAGCAGCAGATTGCTTGTGAGTTATTGATGCAGACTTCGGGCGGCTTGTCGGGTAAGCCAACTTTGAGATATTCAACCTCTGCTACGTCGTATGATTCACTCGAAGTTGCGGTGTGTTCATAGCTTCGAGAAAGCTCCCAAGTGGTCCATATTCAGAGCTGATGGGTATCAACCAGTTTATTGCTATCTTGGGTGATACTGGCGGAAGTGGCTCAAGATGACGGAAAGCGATGAATATCGCTTTGAGTTTCTCCCCGGTAGGTTTTGCTGGGGGGGGGTTGGGGGGGGGTGAAAGTTCGAGATTTGGATTTGCAGAC